AGGATTTGAATACTTAATTTTGGAATCGCTGAAAGAAACTACTAAGGTGTGGTTTCGTTCAAGCTGATTATTCTTTAAGAAAGATGTATCTTAATCGAGTCTGCAAAGAGGACTTTAAGCTGTCTTGGCTTCCCTGCAAAAGTGAAGTAGGAAGTTGCACACTGATCTAATAACTTTTCAAAATTATATGCACCTGGGAATTTTTCCTTTAAGCGTTTTTATAGTTTATTTTTAAGCTGTTGTTTCATTTCAGGTCATTTTGCCTGAGTTAACTATTGAAAGTGGACCAGCTGGAAATACATTGGTTTTCCTTTTGCAAACCCCTAATAGCACCGGTTTAACGTTTTTGCCTGTTTCTTTACGGGGTATTTACGTTGTACCACCTGATGATAATGCTGTTCCTACTATTCAAAGTTCAACTTTGATAAGTTGTTTGGAATCTGCTGGTGGGTGTAAAGATTCCTACTCCTCGCATATTACGATTGAAGCAGGTATACCAATGGCTCACTCAGCATCGGTGAAGGGTCTCACTGGTGAAGTTAATGGTATTTCACTTGATACTGATCACAGTTCGTCACCACGATCATCTGAAGACTCTGTTCGCATCTTAAAGTCATCTTCAGATTTTCAAGATAAAGACGAAGTGTCAACAGAAGGAAAAAGAATTGTGCGTTTTGATCCGCATGAAAAATTGGAAGGTAGATCTTGGTCTGCTGTCCAAGGAAATGGTGTAGCAGATCTTTTGAAAGAGTTAGAGGCGGGCAGTTCGGGTACGTTGGATCGTGAAAGGAGCCTTGTTAGCGAAACAAGCAGTCGGTCTAGCACTGAAGAGGGCACTTCATTATCGAGTTTACCATGTTTCGTTAGTACTCTGGACGAGGACGTCACAAGAGCCAAGGAAAAGGAGGAGAGCTCATCAGATAGATATGATGAACATCACATATCCAGCCCCGCAGGCAATGAAGAAAGTGGCTCCCTTGAGGAGCATACAACTTTTGAACCAGATTTGCGAAGACGGCACACCCAAGTTGGCGAAGGAAATTCATGCAGTCACGTAGTGTCTAATTCTGATAACGTTGACAAGGACCTGCATGAAAGTTCCGAGGCTGATTTGGAAAAGATATCCGGTAATTCAGAGCAGATGAAGGAGAGGGGTATTACTGAAACTAATGACGGAGATAACAAGAGTGTGACAGATGCTGGGGAAGAGGCTCGAGCAGAAGCGGCGGTAAAGGTTGGTAAAGCGAATGATGGACTTAGTAGCGATGACTCTAGGTACAGTCCTTAAACTCTTGCTGAATTTGGATTCATATTCAAGAAACTTTCTTATTTTGAATAGCGTTTCACTTTACTAGTTTGTTTATTTAGAAGAAGGGACGTAGATTATTTGATAAATTTTTATTTAAAGTCTATGAATTTTGAAGGGAATCATAAATTTATCATTTTTGTAGCAGTTCAACGAAGTGTGCAAAAGAGTTTGGTATAGATACTGAGGCGGGGTCGACTGGGATGACTCCATTAATCACTCCAAGGTATCCTTCTGGCAGTTCTGGTGATACGGATGACTTCAGCAGAATTAGTAAGTTTATGGGTCTTATTTGATTCCAAACTTCTTTAGCATGGTGGAATTTTTTGCCACTGCTAGAGGTATTTATACTTTACAAGGTTGCGAAACACCATACATGGAGCAGATGGAGTGGAGTAGAGATGACTACATCCCTAAAACGCCAGGTTTTTTCACACCCACAAGCGATAGTTTCAACAAGGAACGCGTTTCGGATAGGTATCTTTCCATATTTTTTGTTAAGATTCTTTTCTCAACCATTGTCTTGTTTCAGTCCACTCCCTCGTAAAGGCGCGAAAAATCTGTTTGGGACATCTGTTAAAAGTCCAACAGCTCTTGAAAGCTGTGTTGTCACGAATGAATGTAGGATCCTGGCTGCAGTACATGGTGAACCGTCAGTTGGTGATCGCAGTTTTGTAGTTACTGATGCTGCGGAACAAATCTGCGCTAGTGGCGGAACTGGTTCTGGCCGTGAATCGGATTCTTTTCCACTAGCTAATGAGGAACGCCGAGAGAGTGATGTTGTGGAAAATGATTTGGAAAACGATGGTCAACCTTGCTGCTCCAAAGTACGTCTTAGTGTTATTGACTGACTGTTTTTAAAATAATTTCTTCAATCACACAGTAAGAATCATTATCTAAGAAGTTACTGTTGTACCAATTGTTGCCTAACCTGGCTTTATAACTTGTCTTGAAATAACCCTGTAAATGAATATTGCGTATTTTTAACATAGGATAAGGACGATGAAAGAAGCAGTGATGAAGAGAAGAGAAGAAGCACAGTTAAGCGTGGAAGGAAAAGAAAGAGGAGGGATAAGTTTTTGACCGGTTTGAAAGGCATGATGGACCGATCACATCGAGAAAAACAGTTCAAGGCTCTCAGCAAAGTTATATTGGGGGATTTCAAGCAGCAAATGTTTATGCATCAAGATAAAATTCGTGCTGTTCAGTATTTAATAAATTCTGAAGAGCCTTCGCCTAAAGTAAGCAGATTATACAGTAAATTCAGGCTCTGTCAAAACAAGCGCTTTTTTACCCGTTTGTGCCTCAGGTTTTTCAAAGTTTTGTTGGACAGTAGAGCCTGGCTCAGAATTTGAGAAACAGAAAGGCATGTTTTGAGATTTCATTTTTACAACAAATTACAAGTCCTCAGATTCTAAGAGAATTTCAGGTTTCCACTCCATTTTGTTTGATTCAGAATCTGTTATTAATTCATGTTTTACGCGACCAAGATGCTTAGCCCCGTGTTGAAGTCTCTCCTTTACTGACATCGCTCTGTACTTTCATCGCGTAATACAGATATTGACGAAGATAGGTCGGGATGTAAATCTCGAAAATGTGGAAAAAATTTTTCTTCAGAAACGTGCATAACTTTTTAGTTTACTACATGAAAGCAGTTACGTATTGGTTAGGTACTTAGATTCGAGGTTACTATTAATAATATGAATCGAAGTAGAAAACTGCAATATATTTTCGTGAAATTGCCGCTTTTTAGCTCACAAAATGTTCTTCAGTTGCCATTGCATTTATTTTCATAAAAACATGGGGATCTTTATTGAATTCAGTTCAATTTATTTTTCGTGGCGTCTTTTCAAAATTCGTGTCTCTTTATGTATTTTTTGTCACTATTTTTGTTGAAATGGGCACGTTCATTTCTAAAAGTAAGGGGAATGATTTTTTGTAGGAATATAAACATTTTGATTACCTGAAACGTTTAAACAGTAAGCTTTTGAAATGTGCCTAGTAGAATGAGAACTTGGGAATGTTTACATTTTGACGATTTGGTATTTAAAAGAGGAGGGACTTTTCGGGATAAACTTGGGTGTTTCTCCAATTCTGAATTGGAGTCTGCTGTTCATCAAGCTTCAAAAGGATGTAAAAGATGTGCTGAGAAAAGCGTTAGGCGTGGGGTGAGTTATCTCCATGGCCAGAACTTCGGCTTATTTTGTTCTCCTAAAAATTTGTAGCTCTAAGCTTTGTTGCTTAGTTTTACACGCGTTTTAGCGCAGGGATGTCTGTAACCTCAACAAGAAATCACTTTTACTTCCAGCTAGTTTTTGGTTTTAGATGTTTGAAGAACTTTCTGGGATCTTGGTTCCCGAGCATAGCCTGTTATTAATGTTACTTTCGTTGATATTTCCGGAAGCAGCACTTCCTGAAAATGTTATTTGTAGCCCGCTTCGAAAAGCGTTGTCTGCTGCTGTTGAGATGATAATGAATATTGAGGTCTGTTTACATTAGACGGCAAACACAATTATAGCAATTTTTAAGCATTTTTTTCTGTGTCTGATTGGTTTTAATGGTTGAGTAAATCAAATTTTTGAACCGTTTAGGGATATACCAGCTTTGGCAAGACAAAGTATTCTGCTCGTTCAATATTCAAGTGTATTCGTCAGCTAGGTGAGTATGTTATGATCTTACTGGCACTACCACCGTTTTCTTCAGCCAATTTTACTCGTTTTCTTCTAAAATTGTCAACCCCTTTGCGGCTCATTTTGGTTTTTTCAAAGCTGTTTTTTCAAAACTATCAGTAAGATTTTGCCTAAAACTGATTTTTTAACTTTTCCAGGACCATCCTGTAACTGCGATGAGCTTGAAAAACGCCTAAGTGAACTAATTTCAAATGAAGGTCCGTTGTGGTGTGCACTTTCAGCCAATTTTCCCAGCAGTGAGTGCCCGACTCCGTAAGTGACGTTCGTGATCGTAGGAAACGTTAAACTTTTCTTTAAAATAACGCTTCTTTTGTTAAGTCATGAAGTAATATTTTTTAAGATCGTTTACGTTTTTACTATTTGCTTAAATTGGCAAGAGCTAACTTTTCTACAAGTTGCGCTGTTTTTTTAATGGTACGAATTGTTATTAATCGAAGTGCTCGCTGTTTTAATCGTATCGCTTTTACCTGGCTTATCAATTTTAACATTCTTCAGTACATATTTGAAGTGGAAATTTTAAATTGATTTTCGTGGTATCACAGCTCTTAAACTTCCGCTGCTTTGCATGGTTCTAGTTGTTAAATTAAAGTTTTCATTTGTCGCAAATATGGACTTTCTAGGCCCTGGTTTACTTTTAGATCGGGGGCTGCTAACTATGAGTTTTTGGATGTTGAAACGAAAGAAGAGTCGCATTTAAGTTACGAAGATGTTGACTTGTCATCTGCGTTAGGCCCTGGCGGCAAAAGGCGTCAAACAGTTCCCCATATCAATAATGGCCGACTGCTTATCGAAAAGAAGTGAGTTTTGCAAACTTTGAGTTTTTTAAACTTTCCTGATTTTAGCTCAGTTGTAGTCTTACTAGTAACATTTGAAGTTCGCTGTATTGACTGAATCATTGTTTGGGACTGTAAAATTTCTTAAAAACTGTAAGCAGTTGAATTCAAAAAAATTGCTCATTAGAATAATTTTCTAATTATTCTTATGTTTGTGCGTTTTATAGTGAACACTAGCAAGGTAATTCTCTTTAACAGTTGGTTGACATTTAATAGATTTGATTTAGTGGGAAACTTCATGAAGCGGTTGCAGTTATTGATCCTGGTGATAAACAGAGTTCAGAAATGGCTTTCAAAACTAGGATTTTCACTGGTTCACCTGTGGATAAGTTTGCATTACCGAAGGCGTGCACTCAGACGCATAGCAAACGACGTCAGAATTCTCCCGGGTCTATTTCGGAAAAGTCTCGTAAATCTTTTGCAAACGTAAAGTTGAGAAAACCAGAGAGCGAGAACAGTAAAGCTACTGCGACAGTTGAAAAGTCAATAGCTGCAGTAGGAGCCAAAAGTGTGATCAATACCGTTAGTTTTGAAGGGTCATTGGAATTAACCGTGGAAAAATTAAGCGACCTGAGGAGTGGCGAAGAAGAATTTTCATCTTCGCCCTCAAACGGAAATGCTTTGTCTATCCCTGAAGGTTTAGCCCCTGAATATGTTGATTTCACTTGTACACAGTTAACTGAGCAAACAGATGTAGATCCCAGTTCTGTCGGGTCTGTTGAAGAATTGCCTTTAAAAGTTCCAGTTCACAGTAATTTCACACCAATTAATCAGACTGAAGGCCACCAGTCGAAAAATGCTCTGATTTGGGGTAGATCAAATGATAAGACGCTGTTGTATAGTTATAATGACTGTAGTGGTGATTTCGAAAAAACTGTGAAGCTTGCTGGAGAACGTTTATGTTCCGATGATGTGAAAGCTATCAAAGAAAGATTGTTTTACTTACTTTCTTTTTTTAAGTAAAAAGCTTGGAAGTTTTGGTAGTAGGAGACAGCGTTTTTCACACGTTCGTAATTTTTAAAGAAGAAAAGGACCACTTGTGCATTAAGCTTGTTCACGAATTGAAGTTTATTGTTTATCACGATCCAGCTACCTTCATTTTCAGCAGTTGACGTTATGTATAGTATCTACGTATATATTCATCATATATATATATATATATATATATATATATATAT